ATTAGAAACAAAGAAGCTACTAGGAACAAGTGCATCGCTACTAGTAACAAGTGCCTTACTAGTAGTAACAAGAAGCAAAAGATTGCTGTTTGGTTCAAAAGTGCATGATCCACTTCACTCAGGTGTTGACCTTGCACGAGAAGTATGAGATTCGTCCAGGACCAGCTCTTGAGCCAGTTGGTCTCGTCTGCCGACCAAAACGTCTTGAGATGAAACTATCCATGTCGTAAAGAAAGAAGAAACCATACGAGCGAAAGAGGTGTAACAGGGTCTCAAGAAAAAGTAAACCGTATACGGTATACATTATTACATTATATAATACTCACCATAGACTATACAAAGTCGACTCAACCTACAAAGTCGCGCGCGTAAGAGACACGTTCACAGGAGATGGGCACATTGCGGTGAAGTTTGCCAACTCGGGAAATCGGCCTGGTCCGCGGGAGTCTCAGTGAGCAAATGGGCTCAGGATGGCTTGGAAAACCACATGTTCAAGAAATCTCAACTTCTCTCACGGATTTTCTATGCTTTCAACTGAATCTGTACCCCCAGGGCTGCTTTCCGGGACATGTTCAGCTTGATGAATCACCCAAAGCTGCCAAAAAGCATCCTTTGACTGAGCTTTTGGCGCCTCCAAGGTACTAGCTTCTCTGCCAAGCAGTCAGGTTTGTTCGGAGACCTAAAGCTGTGATGTGTTCGATTTCTTTTGAGCAGAGCTTCAAGCAGAAGACGCCGACGAGTCTGCCCAGTCATTCAGTACGAGAGATCATCTTCGGTTTGGTTGTGAAGTCTACTAGGAGCAAGGGCATCGCTACTAGGGGCTCCCTGGCCTTACTACTAGGAGCAAGAGGACGCTACTAGGGGCTCCTGAAGTTAGTGAAGTTGTTCCGCTCTGTGGCACCGCGTGGCACCCTGATGGGTGTTCAGGCGGCTGACGTGTAAGCCCAGTTTAGGCGAGATGACATGCGTTTTGGGCACTCAAAATGGGAGATTTGTGTGCTCAGAGCTCGGATGAGCAGCTCACATGAGCTCACCCTTGGCTCAGTTTCACTGAACGCGTCAGTGGCTCGGAGCTAGGAAATTGGAACTCATGAAGGTCCACCGTCAAATAGATAGAAAGGTGCAGAAAAGGTGCAGAGGTTTTTGCTCTGAGAATCTTTGCGTGGCTATGTCACACTATATGACACTTCCATGACGGAATGTCTGGACAAAAAGGTGCTGCCAAGCGACGAAAGCTTTGTTGTGTGTCCTGCGAAAACAGAACCACGGAAGAAGTCCACTCACTACCATCGTCTCAGATTGACAATCCAGCCTGGGCAGCCGCAAGTCTCTGTGCCGGTTCATTCTTGCAACAGTTGTCATGTATTCAATTCATTGTATCACGCATCTGCAGATTCCAAGCGACTTGGGCTAAGACCAGCAGCCATGGCCGTGGCCGTGGCAAACAATGAGGATTTGGCCACGATGATGCAAGAATCAGCTTCTCAGCTACAGCTGAGACCACAAGGCATTTCGCTTGTGAATCGTATGCAATCTTGAAAGTAGAAAGGGGTCATCAGGGGTAGCAAGGGCCAACAAAGTATAGTGATAGTGAGTTTCTTTTTTTTTTTCAGAATTCTGGATGACGGAACAAGGACGATCCGACACGATGATCTCGGTAACACGACGTCCGAGGTGTTGAAGGACTTGCCAGAGATGGCACACAAAGATCCGGTACCTGGAACTGCAGCACCTGAGGCGCGCACTTTGGCAGTTGGTACTTCCACGTTAAAGAAAACAACAAAGAAACCCTTGGAACCCGAAGATGAATGAGGATCAACATGGATCAACAACACTTCTCATATTTTGCTGTAGCGATGCCAGGAGCAAGGACGCTACTAGGGGCTCCTGGCCATACTACTTTTAGCAAGAAGCTGCTAGTTTATTTTGCTGGCATTAAACAGGTGTTGATGGTGTGCGTCCAATGGCCAAGGCAATGGTGGAGGTAGAGATCGGAAGCTCTCACAGCCGTGCCACGCCGCGGCAAGTGGCCACACTGTGCAACAAGGCAGCCGAACCTCCTACCTAATAACTTCTTGCTCCTAGTAGTAAGGCCAGGAGCCCCTAGTGGCGTCCTTGCTCCTAGTAGCGATGCCCTTTGCTCCTACTAGCAATTGCTACCTACTAGAGATGGCCTCCAACCTAATAGCTACCTGCCACAGCATGCCAAGTGCGCCTTCTGCGCGAGAAGAAACACCTTCCAAATGGGCTCCACAAGCCTATGCTTAGGTTGGAGGCCATTGCTATGAGGTTGGAGGCCATCGCTCCAACAGGTTTCTTTTGCCATTAGGAGCAAGGACGCTACGATCGGGGCTCCTGGCCTTACTACTAGGAGCAAGAAGCTACTAGGGGCTCCTGGCATCGCTACTAGGAGCAAGGACGCTTGTAGGTTCCGAATGGAATCGGCTCCACAGGCCTATGGCTACCGACGCCTCTCGGAGTCGGAGGCGCGTTCGCGGCTGGCCATGGGCGACGATGAAGGCTCGACCTGTCTGCGCGTTCGTTGTGGCGTGGACAACGACCGGAACGACGTACGATGGCCATCCTTCGAAACCAAAGAAACACGAAACCACAAAGGACTTAGTAGCTTCTTGTTTTAATTCTATAATTACAGTCTAATTAGATTTCCATTGATTTTAATTCTAATTCTATATAATTGAATTCTTGTTTCTAATAGCTTCTTGCTTCTAGTAGTAAGGCCAGGAGCCCCTAGTTGCGATGCCCTTTGCTCCTAGTAGCGATGGCGAGTCATGGAGTCATGGAGAATGCACAAAGGACTTTCAACGAGGCTTTTGAGGGACCTGGGTCTTACTTTTAGCAAGCTCTTCCTTCCTTGTGATTTCTTTTGAAGACCTTACGCCTTCCTTCCTTTTTGACGTTGGAACTTTTGGAGCATCGACGAAGGTGCCAACCGTGTGTTGCACTTGGCCTTCCGGAATGGCAAACTTTTGGGCTGCTGCTCCTCAACACTCCAGCCACCCTGGACACCCAGGCGCGGTCGGGTTCCACCCAAGGGGAACTCGAGGAGGACTTGAAGACAAAGATGTAGGGCACTCGTATGCCACATGCTTTATCCTCTCTTGTCTAGCTAGCTTTTGTCCTGGTAAATTGGATAACAAGTTCCAATTCAATGTTTGTCTTTGTTTCTTATGCCAAGAGAATTCTCTCTTGGGACAATGAAGCTCTTGACAAGCACGGTATCTTGACGGTCGACTTTTTCAGTCTGAGTGATGTTTTTCAGGAGCTGCGGCCACTGGGGTCTTCTGTCAGTGCATCCAGAGGCTCAAGGCACTGGCGTGGCATCCGTTCCTTGGCTTGAATGTCGGGAATCGATGCAACAGCCAAGTGGCTTTTCGTTTTGGCCACTTGGATACTTCGACGTTCAACTGGAATTGATGTTAGAAAGTCATCGTGCAAAGCCGAAGGAAGGAAAGCAGATCTTCAACGTTTTCGAATTCTTCAAAGGTAACTTCTGTGCAAACTCTAGCCATAGCGACGAAGTGTTATTTGATTCGTAGAGGCACTGGTTGCTGCAGCCGAGCGGCGGCTCCTCGAAGCTGGCTGCCGTGAACACCTCGGTAGAAATGACATCGGACGAGCTTTTATTTTTGGAAAGACGTCCTAATAAGTCAATGCAGAGAAGCATTTGTGCGTTCAATGCCTTCGGTGATTCCGCACAGCGATCCAACAATCGGAAGACGGTTCGCGATGTCAAGACATCTGGTGGAGCAAGGCAGCATTCAGATTGAATATGAGTTCACAGCCGGCGATCCTGACTCTGAGAGGCTGCTGGAGTGGTATGAGGTGGGACACACCAGAAATTGGTTATCATTTTATTCCGCACTTTCTTGTTACTAGTAGTAGCTTCTTGTTGCTAGTAGTAATGCACTTGTTACTAGTAGCGATATTCTTGTATTGGCTGGTGCCCTTTCTGTCCAGGGGAAGTGTGGCTTCAAGAGTGGCCGGGCCTGATGGACGAACCTTTCGTTGTGGGAAGGAAACGCAAGAATGCTTCTAGGAGGTTCCAGCAGTCTTCACATTGGCTATACACATGGTGTATATATATATATATATCAATATACAATATAGTATATATGGTACCCCCCCGGGACCTAGCCTTTTGTACTTTTCAGCGGTATTTATGGTGAATTATGCACATTTTGACATTGATTTTTGGGTACAAGTTTTAGACATTTTTTTTTGGTTGAAGGGATTATGGCGTGATATATATATATATATATTGACACAATAAGAAAGGAAACAGTGGTCAATGAAGACCTCTTGTGTGGAAACCAGATGATAATAAAAACACAAGTTGCGCAACATGTTGCGCAACAAACTAAAATCCTAAAATCCTAAAACCCTAAGATTTCAGCACTAGTCCAAACCTTGACTTCATTGTTGTAGTCTGGAAATCTTAGGGTTTTAGGGTAGTGCTGAAATGTTAGGATTTTAGGATTTTAAGGTAGTTTGTTGCGGAAAATGTTGCGCAACTTCTGGACACACATCTTCTCACACAGGTTGCAGCGACATGGCTCCGAAAATGCGGGTAGATATCCTCGGATCCGTGGAGATCGATGGCCGTAGCGTCTCCCTCAACTTCGAGGTCCCCGCGGCAGCTGCATCTGCTTCTACCTCAACACCGGCCACTATGTCCCCACCATCAACCAAGGACATCATCTTGCAAATGATGCAGGGAAAGTTGCTGTACCACCCGACCAAGCAAACAGTGACGGCGCAGGAGCTTGGGCAGCGCATTCATTCCATTCAAAGCCAACTCTCTTTGACAAGAGGGCTGACACACGGCCAGTGGAGTGACGAAGCACAGACCCGTCTTTGCGCTTGGCTCTTGGCACCTCGCAAGAACAACAAAGCCTTGGCAGATGGCAAGCCATCAGGACACAGCGGAGAGCAAGCTGCACTGACAGATGGCAGGGAACATGAGGACAAGAGGACTTCTCGGAGTCGGTCTCGTAGCTGGTCATCGTCATCGTCTTCTATCAGCTCCTCGTCTGCTTCTTCTTCTTCTTCTTCGGCACATGGGTCGCCCTCTGCTGCCGCTGCCCCTGTGTCACGGCACAATGTCGCAGAGCGCCAAGCAAAGAGAGCCTCCTCTGCTGCCGTTGCCCCCGCTCCAACCCGCAAGGAGCTGGAGGCTGAGATCGAAGAAAACTTGTTCTTCTGTCGGCTCCATCATGGCACCCGTCTTCAACCCTCACGTGCCCAAGCGTGGCAAGGCTTGCCAGGTGCTGAAGAGGCCTGGTTCTGTGAAGCAGAACGAGTGGAAGAAGGTACCTTACGTTCAGGATCCGGATGCCTTGCCGTGTGCTCGCGGTGACCAGCAGAAGTGGAAGAGGTCTTTGCCTGAGATTTTGTCTTGCTATACGGCATCTCTCATCTCCATGCTCCGTGATGACGGTCTGCTTCGTAGATGGGAAGGGTCTGTGTGTCTCATTGCGAGCGTGGAACTTTGGGCAAGTTGGCTCCACATCGTGGCGCGCGAAAGCACAGACGCAACGCCAAGAAGTAGCAAAAGTATATCAACCCGCACCATGCTCATCCACTCTTCGTCGAAAGCGCTGGCAACGCAATCAGCCCTTTTGATGCTCATCCTCAATCGTGTGCCCAATGCTGCCATTCACCGTCTGCTTCACATCAACCACAAATCCATTGAAGACTTCGCGAAGCGTCTTGGTCAACTTCGTGAAGCGTGGGTGGTGGACACAGAGAAGAGCATTTGCTTTGGCAAAGATCGGCAATGGGCAGACATCGAGGCCGACGAAGCTACCTTTGATCGCCAGGTGGTCGGTCAGCAAGCCCAATGGGAACAATGGTGCGCCGTTGTGCAGCGAGGAAAGTCATCCACGTTGGTCTTGCACCGACGCCTGCAAAGCTGAGGGCACCAGGCCCTGGCGCCGCGCGGAAAGTCGAGTGGGAGCCCCTGGCCAAGAAGTGGCTGCAAAATCGACAGGTGATTTTGCACGCAGACTCGGCTAAGGCCTACAAAACTGCCGTGCCGGGTGTGCTTCACGACCGTGTCGTCCACAAAAAACAGCGTGTCAATGCTGGAAATACATTCTGCTGGCTCGCGCCAAAATATGTAGAGCTCAACTCTCACAAACTGCCAGGATCAAAAAAAGCTTCTCAAGGTCAACTCTGGCGCACAGATCATTGACCGATGTTGGCGGTTTCTTAAGGAACGGCTGCGTGTAAACCAGACAGCCGCGTGGGTAGCCGTACGCTGAAGATGCAGCTGCCGAGTGCACAGTATGAGTACTGGCAGCCATAGAAACCAAGACCTTTGGATCAGCGCCGGGAAGCTGATCCAATGGTTCTTGAAGTAAACCACTTGGCATCTGCAAGGCGAAAAAAAATGGTCCGCAACTTTCCTTGCACATCTCCGCATTTCATATCAAACACATCTGATCAAAAACATCTGCTCAGCAAATCATCTGACCAAACACATTTCAAATGGTCCACATCTGGTCAAACACATAAAAAGTAGGTCCCGGGGGGGTAGCATATATATATATATATCACATATATATATATATATAATATAGTAATACAAAAAAAATATATATATATATAGATAGATAATACATACACATTCTTCTTTTTTTCTATCTCTCTCTCTTTCTCTCTATATCGCTCGCTCCTTTTTGAGGTGGCTCTCCTCCACCGACCCGTGGCTCTGAGTTCCGCTGTTGTCTGGAGCTGAGTGGCTCTTGGATGGTGTAGAAAAAAGGTCTGAAAATCTACAGAAAGGTACAAACAATAAAGGGAAAGGATAAACTAAAGAACATTTTTGTTGGTGGCAACGAGTAATTTGAAGATGTGCACAGTGTGAATAGTGAAGTCACCAAAGACAGTTTCACCAGGTCGCAAGAAGCTCACGGAAAAGTCGGTGTACCAACACAGCTCAAGGAGTAGAGGCCGAAAGCCGGGTGTCTGTGGTGTCCGTTGGCAATGCCCAATTCCAGCAAGAAAAAGGGGGGGAAACCAGTGGAAGTCGACTTGTCAAGGATGCTTGTCAAGAATGCTACTAGGAAAACGAATGCCCTTTGTTGCTAGTAGCGATGCCCTTTGTTCCTAGTAGCTTCTTGCTCTTAGTAAGGCCAGGAGCTACTCTTAATAGCGATGCCCTTTGTTACTAGCGTTCAAAAGACGGGTCTTGGCCAATGCTTTTTGCTTTCCGCCTTTGTGCTGTAGAAAGGCTTTCTCGATCTCACAGATCTGTTGAGTTCGCACCCTTTCCCAGGCTTGAGCTTGAGCGAAGTGTCCGGCTCTCAGCCATGTGCACTGCAAAACGATGTCTTGCATAGGGTACAAGGTACATCAAAGTACTCTCCTTCATAGGTCGAGCTAGCTAAAGTGCACCCAAGCTTATAAGTAAGGACTGCTAAAGAGGGGGAAAGATAGCGCTCGTGTTTCTCCAACACGATAGTTAAGTTTCCCTAGAAATGTAGGGACCAAATGCATAGTGTGAGCTATCCTGCCTCTTGGCTGGTAGCCACCTCTTACTACTACTTGCTGTAAGCTTCCCTCCCGGGGCTTAACAAGTGGTTCAAAGGTGTCAATTGTGAAAGAAGAGAAAGACAACTAACGCGTTCTTCTTCGCAGTCGTATGGTGCAATTCAGCCGAAGACCTAAGGAGAGCATTGTCCCATGTTACATATCCCGCCGTATCGTCCCCATTGAAGCTAGCAAATTGAGTGGATCGTGGGAGCATCAGCAACATTTGGTCAAACCTAGATTCTTCTTTATTGCTCAACGAAATCTGTTGAGCAGACCTTCCAAATTTGAGAATCTTAGTGGCCTCGGCCGCTATTGTGCTCCTGCGCCTCAATGGGGGTTGTAGAGTGAATTTAAGATGATTGGCTGTTTGTGGAAGACCACATGGGTGGGTGACGAGCACTTGATTAGACATCTCATCTCAATGACAGAGCAAGAAGGCTGGTGCAGAAAAGCCTTCTTGGCTTTATGCAAGTGCCAAGGGCAAGGAGCCATGTCAATTATTGGCAAAGCTTTCTGACACCATAGGTAAAGTTGTTACCATGAAGCCAGCCTGAAAGGCCTTTCTTTGTCACTTCTGTCAGTTATCAGGCTAAAAGACCGATGCCACGTGGTGTCACCCTAGTAGTGATGGCCTCCAACCTAATTGCAAACTATATTAGACCTTTCTTCATTCCTTTTCTTTTTGCTTTGTTTCTAATGGCGATGGCCTCCAACCTAATAGCCATGGCCTCCACCCTAGTAGCGGTGGCCTCCAACCGATGAGTCATAATATCAGTCAATCTGGTGTCAGCAAGTGGCTTTTGCAATGCGCCAAGGTCTCTCACTGATGCTTCCAGTGCTAGGAACACCGAAGAAGACGAGGATGATGAGCTTGAAAGGAGAGCAGTGAAGATGTGTAGAGTGTCATAGCGAAGTAAGCACCCATGCAAGCTCTGAGAACCGCGATGTTGGGTGGTTAGCAACCTCCCTCTTTTCCTGCCATTTGCGGAGATGGGAGCGCCTGAAATTCCAGATCGGCTGATCCTCAAAATTGTACATAAACATGCTGAGCAGCTGTCATTTGCATAGCGAGTTGATTGCACGACTGCAGACATTCTTCGAAGAAACACTTCCGCCTTGGAGTGTCTTCTCATTTGCTTTGTCCCGATGCAGACACCGCTGTGCTCGGCGCAATCTGATTCCAAGTAAGAAGGCACCTGAGCACTTGTTGGCTACGCCAGAGTCTCGAAAAAGATCAATCATAGCGCGCTGGTATTAGACCCAATAGCCCAATAGCGTCCTTGCTCCTAGTAGTAAGGCCAGGAGCTCCTAGTAGCTTCTTGTTCCTAGTAGTAAGGCCAGGAGCCCCTAGTATCAGACCTTTCTTCCTTCTCTTTTTTCTTTGTTTCTAATAGCGATGGCCTCCAGCCGCATAGCGATGGAGGGACAAGAAACTGAGAATGATGCCCGAGTTGACCTAGCTGGTGGCTGGCTTGTTGCAGATGTTGCCCGTGCTCGTTGCAGCTTGATCAAAACAACTCTGTTCATCGAAGAAGCCACGGAAAGGATATTGAAGGATGACCAGCACTGCAACAGAAGCTCTTTTCTTCAACCCGCACGAAGTCCAGATGATGCTAGTGGCCAAAAGTATCTCTCTCAAACCAAAGACCGTTGAACGTTCGAAAGAACGTTGAATGATCACCCTTTGGTCTTGGATGTCGATCTCCCCTATTCATAGGTCCACGAATACACAGAAGGAAGGTGCTTTGCAAGAAAAGAATAAGCAAGACACGGAAAAGGAACGACAAAGAATATGCCCTTTTGATCCCTTTTGAATGAAAGAAATTTAAGCATGCATTTGTTTCCTTAAGAGTCTGTTTCAAGCCAAAATTTTCTGAAACCCAAAGCATCATCCACATCGCTCTTTGGCTGCCGCGATGGTCAAGGCGGCAGGGTCATAGCCGTTGGTAGCACACCTTGCAAACCAAAATAGGCCTTTCTCCCTTTTCTTTTTGCTTTGTTTCTAATAGCGATGGCCTCCAACCTAATAGCAGCAACAAAACAGCCCAAACGGCTAGCCCGGGCTGCAAACAAGAACACTACTACTGAGCGTCTTGAGTCTGGAGTAACTTAAACTTGAGCACTTTCAAGCAACGATCTGACTTCGACATCTCACTTTTCTCTCCTCTCTATTTCCTCTCCAACTCCGCTTGTGTCTTCTTTCGCTTCATCTGTGGCTTTTCCCGTGGACCGTCGCCCGGGTGAGGTTTTCCTGGACATCGACATCGACGGCGAGTTGGCGGCCTTCCAACTGGGCCAGGCCTTTGTGGAGGCGAGAGAGACAAGAAACTACTAGTAGCTCCTGGCACTCCTTGGTCACCCTTGAAACCGCTGTTTGCGGAAGAACTGTTTGCTGTTTGTGGTCTCCTCGAGGCCAATGACATCAAGTACTCTTTGAGCTCCAAGGAGATCTTTCTTTGAGCTCCAAGCATGTCCACGAGTTGCTTGAGACGACGCACGCTTTTCAGTTCTTCTTTGAACAGTCCCTTCCTTTGCTTGCCTCAGTCTTAGAGTCTGAACCACCCCTTGCTGACAAGAAAGCTCTGACTTCCTATCTTCCAGGAGCCTTTAAATCAATCAGTCTTCCCCAAACCTGTTCTTCATCGTCCGCTGAGCCTCCGAGCGTCGGACGGCTCCACACTCGTCGAGCGTCTCCGAGGACGTCTTGGCGCTTGGTGGCTCGGAAATCTCGCGGCTGCCCGAGCTTTTTGAGGCACCGGTCCAATGAGGGGCACCGGTCGCGAGCGTTCGGAAGAGGTGTTGCGAAAACGAAAGAAACGGTCTGACTAGGGGTCTTCAGGGAATGAAGGAGCAATTCGGGAAGCTTTTGGCTTTTGAAGTTTGAGACCAGTCATTCTGCTCTGACAGTCCGACTACGAGTGGAGCCAAAAGGGTCGAGCGCTGCGGAGAGCTCAGCCCATCACTCCCCCATCCTTCAGCAGCCAGACAGTTACTGATTTTGGCTAAGGTTCAAACCGCCAGAACAGCGAGTAGTTGCAACTCGCTGAGATGACTCAGGGAATTCGTTTTGGGATTGCTTCTGAAACACTTCATATTTTTTTGTTGCCTTTTGCTTTTTCTCTATCTAGGAACTAGTGTGCGTCCTAGCTAGTAGCTCGTTACCTTAGTAGTTTGTAGACAGTCCTTGCTTCATTAAGTAGTAGGTGCCTACTTAATCAAGTAAGGGGGTGCAAAAGATGCATTTCTCCTTCCACAACTAAGATCGAGCTCTTCGAAAAGGAGAGCCCGATGGCCTGCGCCAACTTCAAGGTGCTTCCTTCACATCTTCCTTTCGTCTGATCGAACGTCCGCGTGACGCCGACGCCCCGGACGAGTCTGGAGCACCGGACAGGCGTTTTGCACCGGAGAGAAGGGGAAGTCCAAGGAATCGGGGAAGGAGTGCCGACTGGGAGTGCCGTGACATGCGACTGCGAGTCATCACGGGTCAACGAAAGGATCCGAACGAGATCCGAACGAGGACGAATCAACGTTTTACTTCGATCTCGATCTCAACCAGTTTTTCTAGGAGATGTGCTACAAGAACGTGCCCTTCCATCGAATCCTGAAGGGCTTCATGATGCAGGTCACGTTGCCAAACGCCGATGGAAGCATTGGATGTGAAAGGGAACAGGGGAGATGATGGGAGGGTGAAAGGGTGCAGAACATCGCTGAAACCTCCGCTGAAGAAGATCGCTAGTAGGTTGGAGGCATCGCTATAGTGGATGAGAGACCATCGCTTGGTAGGGTGGAGGCCATTGCTTAGTAGGGTGAAATTCTCACCTCGTCTCTCGTATCTCACTCGTCATCACAAGTCGTCCAGGGTGGTGACTTTGTGACGGGCACCGGCGCTGGCGGTGAGAGCATTTATGGCAAAAAAGGCTTCAAGGCCGGAAGCTACTAGGAGCAAGGGACGCTACTAGGGGCTCCTGGCCTTACTACTAGGAGCAAGGGACGCTACTAGGGGCTCCTGGCCTTACTACTAGGAGCAAGGACGCTACTAGGAGCAAAGGGCATCGCTACTAGGAGCAAGGGCTTCAAGGCCGAAAGCGGCGATGCGCTGGTCCTGCGCAGGTGCTTTGAGTTCGAATCCTTTTCGGCATCCGTTTCGAAACGAAGGATGACCCGGGTGGACTGAAGCTGAAGCACGATGCGAGAGGCGTGGAAGTCAATCTGAAAGACGGACATAGAAGCCTTGTTCTCTCCAAAACGATCGATGCTTTTCGCCAAGGCATCGTTTCCATGTCCAACACTGGATCAGTTCTCAGAATTGCCAAGCTAATGAAGAGACAAGACAAAGTGGAGCCACAAGGAAACAAGTCCGACTTCTTCTCCCTTCTCCATATTCACCTGAGGCAAGAACTCCAATACCTGCCAGTTCTTCATCACCTTTGGACGCTTGGCCGAACAGAACGCAGAACGATGTGTCTAGGCTTTGGCTGTGCCACTTTGGTCACCTTTTAGCGCTTTTTGGGTCATCCCGTGGCTTGGCATTTGGGCTGGAACTGTTCGTATTTCCCACGGGTTGCGAAATCCGTTGCTTTCCTTTCCCGCTTGTGGGATCGAATTTGGTCAAACACGACACATCGAGTCATCGAGTCGGTGAGAAATCTCAGGTGATCAAAGCAAGCTGAATGGCAAACACGTGGTCTTTGGCCGTGTGGTCGAAGGCATGGAGGTGCGGAAGCCTCGTGCGGAAAGATACATTTCTTCTAAAGAGGCCGCGTGGCCAAGAGCTCAAAGGCTTCTTTTTGGATGGGGTTTGCTTTAAAGGCCAGAAAGAAATGGCCCCAAAGGGAAGAAAGCAAGAAGGGAGAAAACACAGATCTAAAAGGTAAGGAAAGGAGCGGGCGGAAGAAAGAGAGAAGATTCATGAGAAACAAATAGATCGAGCTTTCATCGTTGTAGTATGTTGTAGTAAGGCTCCGCGAAGTCGGCAGAGGGATCCAATCCAATTGAACGGTAGCGACACAAAACGGATCCTTCTAGGTTGGAGGCCATGGCGCCACTAGGTTGGAGGCCATCGCTTCTACATCGCTAGATATCCACATGAGGTAATTCGGTTTTTACTCCTTTTAGCGACACGAAACGGATCCAGTCCGCCGCTTCGGTTGTCCAGCTGCCTAGGTCATCGATCGGGTGGAAGAAGAAACCGGCACAGCAGCGGAGGACAAACCTCTCAAGCCGGTAGCAGGGTTCTCAGCCAGAGCTCCAATTGGTTAGGAGGTTGAACAAGAACCAGTAAGGTGCATCTACTAGAAGTTCTTTTTTAAGTCACAAGCTGAACAGGTATTACCTAGGCATTTTCACGTTTTTGGTGGCATTGCACCGAGACCATTGTCGACTGCGGGATCCTATCGTGAAGCTTGTGAGTCCCTACGGTTGTAGACGCAAGTCCTGGGACAGATGCAGCCTCTGGTGATCTTAGTGATCTTAGTGGCGAAAGCATCATTTCTGGTCGCCACGGCAATGGACGAAAGCATCGGTTTGACGTCCGATTGACATGTTCAGAAACTCAATGACTCAAAGCCTTCGTGTTGGACTCGATTGCTTGCTCCCGGCCTTGGTGTGGCCAAGTAGAAACTCAGTCGCAAAAAATGACCAGGATGGGAGCAACATCTTGCAAGCATGGCCTGAGCATGAAGCCATGTGGAGAGACATTAAACCTGCATGTGAATCACATGCAACATATTCCATGTGCATTTGGAGGCCATCGCTAGTAGGTAGGTAGTTGACATGAAATTCTTGCACCTTTCTTTGGACTCCGCAGCTGCGACGCCCCCAAAAGGCCATCTCAATTGTGCCGGCGTCAAGCAGCCATGGCGGCGAAGGCCTTCTCTCCCTCTTCTGTTTCAAAGGGGATTGTTTACTTCGTTTGTGTTGAACGAATATCAGGTGTTCTGACTGTTCTGACTGGTGGTGATTTTACTGAACCAAAGCTGAGATGTTGGCTGGGCATGGCTGGGCTGTATCCTTGAACTTTGTGCATTTTTGTTTTCCACGTTTTCCCATGTTTTCCCCTTTCCTCTCTTGCAGGATCGTCGTAGCCTTGATGAGAGAGCCCAGCTGCTGAACCTTTGGCTGCTGGGACGAATTTACATCAAGTTGTGAGGATTCCAAATCGGTTCATTCCTTTTGCGAAACTGCATGGGCCTATTGTCTCAGTGTGCAATTCGCAGGTTGGACGAGTGTCCGCCCATTCGCTGGGTAGCTGACAAGCCCGGTGCTGAGGACAACAAAAAGGGATCAAAAGGGTCCCGGATCCGAAGTAGAAACAAGTGCATCGCTAGTAGTAACAAGTGCATCGCTAGTAGTAACAAGTGCCTTACTAGTAGTAACAAGAAGCTAGTAGAAACAATAAGCTAATAGCTTCTTGCTCCTAGTAGTAAGGCACTTGTTACTATACTAGCGATGCACTTGTTACTACTTCGGATCCGGGTCCCGGATCCGAAGTTCTTCGATTTGGTCAGTTTCGCTCCGTTCGATCGCTCCGTCCGATCGCCTTGATCAATGTGCCAGTGGCTATTCGTGTCGATGGGTCGATGATTGAGGTGTGGCATTCAACCATTAGCTGTCGCTGCGGCAGGCACAAGGGCACACATGAGTGCAGAAAACCCAAAAAGAAACACCTTCCTCAATGAGCTCAGTTGAGAGTAATTGGGTTTGCCTTGCTCGGTAGTATAGTTTGTCTTCCTCTCACGTTCCATCTCGTCCAAACGCAAATCGGATGAGTCGGATCCGTCGGATGTGAGGCCTTCTTTGGGTCTTGCTCTTCGTGCTGTGGGGTTTCATGGGTGAGCTGGTTTGCAAAGACGAAGCCTCGGTGAAGAAGATGCAGAGGGATGGTGACCAGACTTGTAGCACTGGTTGCTAAACAGGCTTGTAGGCCCTGGAGAGCACTGGTAGCAAAGGGGTTGAGATCAAGTGGAGCAGTGATTCTGATAGGAAGTCACCATGCCACGGACATTGGACCAATACTCCGTATTTGGCTGCCTTTTCTTCTTTTTTCGGGTTCTCCGGCTGGGTTTTTCATGCTGAGGTCGTGGGGAACCTGTACCCACTCTATGCATCCTTCCGTGCCAACTCCTTAGGAATAACAAGAACTCTGCTAGGGGCTCCTGGCCTTGCTACTAGGAACAAGTGCCACGCTAGTAGTAACAAGTGCCTTACTAGTAGTAACAAGAAGCTACTAGGAACAAGGGCATCGCTACGAACGGGGCTCCTGGCCTTGCTACTAGGAGAAGGACGCTTCTAGAGGCTCCTGGCATCGCTACGAACGGAACAAGGGACGCTACTGGGACCTAGCACTCGACTTTCCCAACTGATGGACTCTCGGCCCCGAGGCGCTGGAAGACGGAGATCATGATGAGGCAGGGAAAGCAACAGAAGGCAACAGGATGTGCGACTGTAGTTGACAACTTCTTAGGACACATTGAAAAGAAGAATGCCAGACGTAAAAGAGACAGCTGTCTTCTTTTTTGGAACAAGAAGCTACTAGGAGCAAAGGGCATCGCTACTAGGAGCAATGTTCACTACTAGGAGCAAGAGTATATGTGGAATGAGACTCATGGCATCATTTTGCACCTCGAGAGCTCCAGGTCAGTTCCTGGCTCACTTATTGGATCACCTTTGCGGCCTTCACCTTGCTAGAAGGCAGACGCAGAGATCTTCAGACGACCCAGATCTTGGGGGATGTTTTTCCGCTTTTGTTTTCTCGTTTAAAAAGAGTAGGTTGGAGGCCATCGCTATTAGGTTGGAGGTCATTGCTATTGGATGCGCTTGTTCTTTCTTCCAGGTGTTTGTTTCTTTCAGGTTTGTTTCAGACCTTGAGTCCTTGCAGGTGTCAGCATAAAGCTCATGTCGTGGCTTCCTCTCTACTATGTGATGAGGACAGTGATCGAGATGGCGGGACACGAACAAATCTGACACTAAGCGATTGAAACCGGTTTTGGATTGCAGCACTTGCGGGATGTCAATTCCATTTGGACAGGTCATGTTGGACCTCAACCGCATAACAACCAGAGACCTAAGAGAGCCTCCAAGTCCTCAAGCTAAATCCGAAAGGCTTCTTGTAGGGAAGGAGTCAGGAATACCAGACTCCCCAAGAATTGTAATTACATGTTACTCCAACCTACTAGCGATGGCCTCCAATCTAAGAGCGATGGCCCAATAATTTTAGTTTACTTTTCTTTTTTGTCTTATTGGACAGTAACATAGTAGGCAACTAATGTCAAATAATCAGCTAATCAGCAACACGAAAGAACACAGAGATGAAAAACAGGAAAGTCTAGGCCAAGTATTCTGGGTGCACCTTGACCTTCCTCTCTTACAGACCCTTACAGACCCTTACACTTCTGCCCAACATGGGGCGAGTCCTGTCCACCGTCGTCGGACGGTGTTCTCACGGCGCCCGAGAACACGGCTACTAGAAGCGATGCACTTGTTCCTAATAGCTTTATTATTTCTAATAGCTTCTTGTTACTACTAGTAAGGCACTTGTTTCTACTAGCGTGGCACTTGTTTCTAATAGCTTCTTGAACATTACTACTAGTAAGGCACTTGTTACTAGTAGCGATGCACTTGTTACTACTAGCTTCTTGTTGCTCACCGCACCAGGCTGGCCATGATTGTGTGGCTCTTCCTCCCCGCGACCCGTGGAGCACAAGCCCTTTACACCTGGGGCCTGGCACCGCTGCTGCGGCGCTATCGGCCACAGGTGGATGCCGCCTTGGCCAGGCGGAACAAGTCGTCTTCCTTGTCAAAGACTTCGGGATAAGATAGGAGAAGCCATATATGCTGGATATGGTGTTTGAAAGAAAGACGTGCGGGCAGACATGCTTGTCCCAAATCACGAACCAGGACAGGTCAAGGCCTCATACGTGTTGGAAGGATTATTCCTTCTTGTAGGGTATTCAGAATGTATTTCCTCTTGTGCATGTCGGTCTCGTTGTTCTTGTTTGTCATTGTTGTGTCAAGTGGGTGACATGTGAATGATGGGCCTTAGCTTCTTCTTCGACAGGTCTGCACAGCAGCTTTGTGGCACCTTTTGCTCCGAGAAGCTACGAGAAGCCTTGCGGAGCAAATCGGGAGAGGCGTTCGCCTTGCGGAGCAAACAGAATGGTCCGGTTGGGTTGGACCAAAGCAGATGGAATGCTGAGGGTTGGACCAAAGGTGCTTTCACGAGCAGGCTACTAACAAGAGCAGGCTACTAGGGGCTCCTGGCATCGCTACGATCGGGGCTCCTGGCCTTACTAGGAGCAAGGACGCTACGATCGGGGCTCCTGGTCTTTAGTATATAAACGTAAGTGGTCTAGTAGCAAAGTGTATTCACCCAATCAGTATCGACGGTTGACATGCATGAGCATGGCTGCGAGACAGGCTGCCAATGGCGGCATCGAGGATACCCCCGGTCTAGACAGTCATTGGATTTTTTGTTTGGCGCTTCGCCACTGGATTTGAGAAAAGAAGATTTGCTAGAAGCAAAAAAAAAGCGAGCAACGCATATTGTGGAACTAAGATCCAACACAGCAGACAAAGCCAAAGTAGTGTAATGGAAAAAAACCACCAGCACAAGTTGCACTATGCAAATTGCCAAGAAAAAGGAACCTCGAAAATTCATTGAGGCCTTCTTTACTCCTTTCCACCAGGTCTCGACTATCTCTATGGCCTCCACCTTACGAGCGACGGCTTTCGGCTCGTCGGCCAACCGAAGGATGTTCGCTTCGAAGGAGCTGATGGCACAAGAGTTGGCCAAGGCGGCGGCCAGCCGCTTTGTGGGCCAGGCGTTGGAGCAAAAACGGGAAGTGTAAAGTGACAATGTACTTGCACATCATCCGTTTTTGTATTTTTTGGAAGGGACAGAACATGAAAGATGAGAAAAACATGAACGTCAAAATTGTAGAACTTGTGAAATGCGGAAACAATGCAAAACATTTTTGCAGAACTTTTTTTGTTTTGCTTTTGGTTAAAATGCATCTTCTCAGAGGATGCCTCTAGAAGATGGCCTCGTCCGGCTTGTTTCGAGACGCTGGGAGGTGAGCTCTCGGGCGCGCACCGCGTCCCCAAGGCGACGCACAATGTCGTGAAAAACAAATGGAAGTAAAGCCCCGTTCGTAGCGTCCCATGAGTTTGGAGGATGCAAAAGAGATTCTCCAAACTTTGTGCATCCTCCAAACTTTGCATCCTCCAAACTTTGTTCTCCTTCACCAGGATCTCTAACTTTGTGCCTTATTCTGTGTGAAGGCCCAGTCCGATGCGCAGGAGTGAGGGTTTGGCCGGAACCTCGCTTTGCAGTTTTGCCCAGCCCAACCTTAAGGCCTCCCCCACCAAGAGCGATGGCCTCCAACCGGCCTTAAGGTCAAGGAAACAGAAGCTGTGAGTGCTAATTAGCCGAGAAAGACGAGACCGACTTTGCAGCTGAAACTGCGCTAATTCGGTGACTCTGCATCCTAAATTGCCCAGTGCGGATGAGTGCGGATGGGGACTCCTGAACTTCGCCGCGGAAAGAGCCAATTGAGCCGTTTGCGGCTGCGACAAACTACTGGTAGGCGGTTTCGTGGACAGTGCTTGTCGGCTAGCATGGTTTCAAAGATTTTCAAAGTGTTTGGCTCGCACCTCAAATTCTCAAGCAACACGAAGAACACGAAACAGCAAACTTACTCGGCATACTGATGGTGAGAACCTAAATTGTGAGATTCGAAGGTTTGACGTTTGAAACACTTGACTACGTCGTGGAGTCCTTTTGGCAGGTCTATTCTCGCTTTCTTTGGTATGAAACACAGAGGGGCGACATGGCCCCATGATGGACTCGAGCCAGGCGCCCCCGCCAACAGCTTCTGAGGAAGTGATGCACACGACGACGTTGCTCCGACCATGCTTGCTCGTGTGATGTGCGCACACTATTTATCATATTACTAGGAGCAAGGACGCTACTAGGAACAAGTGCATCGCTTCTAGTAACAAGTGCCTTACTAGTAGTAACAAGGTTCGCTAGTAGGAACAAGGGCATCGCTACTAGGAGCAAAGACGCTACGTTCGGGGCTCCTGGCCTCGCTACGAACGGAGAAAGGGCATCGCTACGAACGGAGCCGGTGCGTCGGGATGCAACCAGGTGGAGCTCCCAACGCTTGGAGACTTGGAGCTTCCGGAGGACACTCAGCTGCCCACAGAAGCACCGGAGGTACCAGAAGAGCTTGCAGAAGTAGAAGCTCCGATAGAGGTTGCTCCGGCGTCTGGAGAGCTGGGAAGCTCAGGTTCATCGACAACGTCGATGATTAGTAGCAGAAAACCAGAAGAATGAAACGAGGCAATCAGACTAGGAGCAAGGGCATCGCTACTAGAAACTAGTAGCATTCTTGCTACTAGGAGCAAGAAGCTAGTAGAAACAAGTGCCTTACTAGTAGTAACAGGTGCCTTACTAGTAGTAACAAGAAGCTACTTGCTACTAGGAACATTTCTGGATTTGATGAGTAACGATGATGACGACGATTGACGTGCATGTGAGGGTCCATGCGGATGTCGCGGAAGTCTCGGGAAGTGCAACACAGGCAGGACCTTGAACTTGAATTAAGAACAGCACAAAAGACGCTAGTAGTAACAAGTGCATCGCTTCTAGTAACAAGTGCCTTACTAGTAGTAACAAGGACGCTAGTAGTAGCTCCTGGCATCGCTACTAGTAACAATGTTCGCTACTAGGAACAAAGGGCATCGCTACTAGGAGCGATCGGACGCTAGTAGGTTGGCAGTGGCAGTGAGAACACAAAAGACACAGGTTGGACACCAGTCGACCATTTGAGTTAAGATTGGTTGTAGAAGTTCCAAGACGGGAACTACTAGCAACAAGTGCCTCGCTAGTAGTAACAAGTGCCTTACTAGTAGTAACAAGAAGCTACTAGGAACAAGTGCCTTACTACTAGTAACAATAAGAATTTATTTAATTCTAATTGGAATTGTAATGAGAATGAGAATGCAATCTCTGCAGTGTCCAAAGTTCCAAGACGTGGGGTATTCCGCTCGTAATTTTCATTCTATTTAATTCTCTAATTCTAATTACATTTTGTTTCTACTAGCTTCTTGTTACTAGTAGTAAGGCCCTTGTTCCTAGTAAGGCCAGGAGCCCCTAGTAGCATCCTTGTTCCTAGTAATTAGCGATGCCCTTTGCTTCTAGTAGCTTCTCTGCATTGAGATTGCTTAAGAACGCAGAAGTGTGCGTCCTGGGGCACCACCTTTCAGGTTCGAAGGAGGCTGGCTGTACAGTCGCCTGGCTTCGGCCCGGTCCCATTCAGAAGATTTCCCATTTGAACTGCAATTTGAGGCATACTCTGTAGCGTCCTCTTGCTCCTAGTAAGGCCAGGAGCCCCTAGTAGTGTCCTTGCTCCTAGTAGCGATGCCCTTGTTACTAATAGCTTCTTGTTACTACTAGTAAGGCACTTGTTACTAGTAGCTTCTTGCTCCTAGTAGTAAGGCCAGGAGCCCCTACGTAGTAGTGTCCTTGTCCCTGGTAGCAATACTCTGTAGCTTTGCTGCTGTCATAGCGCAGCTGCTTCAGCCCCTTCTTTTTTTCTCTGTCATTGAGGCGTCTTTGCTCGGGCTGCGGCTGAAGCAGCTGCGGCCGCGCCGGTGCTTAATGATCCATACCAGTACTGGGTCTTCCTGACATTTTTAGAGAGCAAGATTGAAATGAACACTGGTTGACCATAGGCCATAGGGGCTCCTGGCCTTACTACTAGGAGCAAGGACGCTACTAGGAATAAGCCAACGAAACTTCTCAAAATTGTCCGAGTTTTCTTGCCAGACTTGTGACATACCACTCTGCCAGGTGGCACCGGAAAGTGCAGAGGCCGAATCAACCTGGGCAAATTCTGCTTGCCTTTGTGTTGGATCGTCTTGCTGTTGAAGTGCTGTTTAGCGAAGGTACTAGGACCACTAGGAGCAGGGATGCAATTAGGTGGAGGCCATCGCTAGTAGGTTGGAGGCCATCGCTACTAGTAACAAGAATCTTCTGGTCACAAGATTGTGCAGGAGCGGGAAGCTAAGACCGCAAGAGAGAGGTGGCAAAGCTCAGGTATTCCAAGTCACTTCATGTCACTTCATTGCCACACGCGATTAGTTGTGGAAAATTGATTTTGCAGGCTTCTTGTTCCTAGTAGCATGCCAGGAGCTACTAGTAGTGTCCTTGCTCCTAGTGGTAATGCCCTTTGCTACTATGGCCTCCAACCTACTTGGGATGGCCTCCACTTAATAGCGTCCTGAAATGAGACTCCTGGTTTTCGGAAAAGTTGTCAGATCTTCCCGAAAGGTGAACCCACTCAGGACATGTGAAAACACACTGTTTGAGTTGTTTAGACATGCTGCGGACACTTGCATCTACTTGAAACACGTCCTGCAGACACAAGTCCCTTGCACATTCTCACGCTATGAACGGCACTCCTTCATCGCACATTTGGCATTAGGCTTCGAAAAGTGGCCATCCTTGTGCTCAGTGAAGCCGATGCTGAAAAAGGCAAAAGGGATAGTGGGCTTTTCGTCTTTCAGATGTGGACACCTCCAATCTACCCACGACGCAAACTCGGATGAACAGATGATTCAAGACTCGGATGTAACAAGGACGCTATGAGGAGCAAAGGGCATCGCTACTAGGAATAAGGACGCTAAGAAGAGGGGCGCTCCTGGCCTGACCAAATCGAATGCGCCGTGGAGCCGAATCGACCTGCGTGGAGCCGAGGCATGAAGCTTTCGGAGTTCATGGATAGCCTGGAGCAGCTTCATCCGCAGGTCGATCAACTTCACGTTGAGAAACGACAGGAATCAACAATTCCAAGACACGAACGGACAAGAAACGAGGAACTATTCCAATCCACAGCACTTGCAATAGATCCTTTGGACAAGTGAAGTGTGATGTACCAAGGTGGCAAACGACATGAAGACGCCATGACCTCGATGTTGAACAGCTTGAGCATCCTGAAAGGTAAAGCCTTGAACATATTCAAGTTGAACTCTATTCAGCAAACATTTCAGCAAGGAACAGTTGAGTTGAAGAACCAACTGCGCAGTTCGACCCGAACACAAGCGCCTTCTGGTGTCTTTTTTTTTTTTTTTAAATTTCAGGTATCAGTGCATTCCAAACCCAAACCTTTCAAAGCAGAATGAGACACAGAGCGCGTCACTAGCGGGGAAATCAGCAAATCAATCCAGTTTTGAGTCTGCAAACAAGAGTTCGAACAGAGCTTTGTGGTGGGAGTAGTAGCGATGCACTTGTTCCTTGTAGCGATACCCTTGATACTAGTAGCTTTTTGCTACTAGTACTTGCCGCACTCCCGAGAAGCTTGAAAAAGGGCTCGGCTCATCTGCCTTCAGAGATTCAGATTGCAATCAGCGGCAGTCCTGGCCGAAGCGAATGCAGACATTGAGAAGAAAAGGCAACTGAGGACGGATTCTGTAGCCGCTACTTGCAGGCGCACTTTCTTTTCTACTCCCTACCGCTACCGAGAGGAATGCATTTTTGCTACCGCTTGCTTCCCAAAGGCATTCGGTTTGAAATGGCCTTTGCACTCTGAACACATGAGCACAAACACAAACATAACACAACCCCTTGAGAACAACCGGCCATGCCTGCTTTTTTGCTCTCTGCTGCCTGGGTTTTGTGCTGAGGTGCAGCTTCACGTCCGCGCAGGACATGTTGAAGGCGCGTGGTGGAAAACATGGCCCTGCCATAGATTCACCCAGGTTCGCTTCACCCAGGTTCGCTCCTCCATAGGTGTAGTGTAGAAGACGAGAACAAATCAGGGCCCTGTGGTCAGAGACTGGAGAAACGAATCGACACGCAAAGAACAAAGAACATAGAGTTTTCGTCGGCTCTGCATGAAACATCGACGGAGTCAAATGCCTGTGTTTGTTTCAGTACTAGGAACAAGGGCGCTATTAGGGGCTCCTGGCCTTACTACTAGGAACAAGGGCGCTGTTAGGGGCTCCTGGCATCGCTACTAGGAGCAAGAAGCTACTACAAAGTCTGTTCAAGCGGATTTTTTTTTCTTTTCTGCTCATTGGCCGAAAGCTACAAGAACTCTCGTATAAGCTACTCGGCGGGTGCACCGTGCTGTGCGCCACCGTGTAAGAAGTGTCAAGGCCATGAAGAGCCTGGCCCGGCTTGGAGAAGCTGAGGGTGAGGCAGATGATTTAAGCTGAGCGTGCACTTCCTTGAAAAGGGACCCAAGCAAGCAAGCAAACGAATTCGGAACCGCTGTCACACGACCACATTTTCTTTAAAAGGTACCAAGCACCTGAATTTTGAGGAACGGCTCTTCCCCCTCTTCCCTCTGGAGCTCGAGGTGCCTTTTTGATTGCAGAGCACAATGTGTGTCTTTTTCTCCAAATCACTCCTTTGCTATTAGAAACAAGTGCCACGCTAGTAGTAACAAGTGCCTTACTAGTAGTAACAATGTTTGCTATTAGAATTATATAATTTTAATTCTAAATTGAATTAATAGCTTTTTGTTACTACTTTCGCCAAGAGCGTCTCGCTTGTGACTAGTGGTTTAATTACGAATTGGCAGAAGTCACTGCCGCTGCATGGTAGTCAGGGCCCATCGGCGCCTCAGTGTCGAAGTGGGCCACCAACTTCTGTACAGCAGCTTCAAACCAACCGGGAACATCGGCCTCTCCTTCATCGGCCTGAGCATCTAAGTGCCTTACTAGTAGTAACAAAAAGCTATTAATTCAATTTAGAATTAAAATTAATTCTAATAGCAAACATTGTTACTACTAGTAAGGCACTTGTTACTACTAGCGTGGCACTTGTTTCTAATAGCTTCTTGCTACTACTAGTAATGCCCTTTGCTCTAGCTTCTTGTTACTGCCGGAGCAGCCACGTGTTCTCGTGGAGCTCGAGGCGTCCAGCGACGGTGAGGTGAAGGATGGCCGGATGACGATGAAAGTGGACAGGACTTGCATCGCTACTAGTCACAAGAAAGCTATTAGAAGCAAGAAGCTACTAGGAACAAGTGCATGCGCCGCGCGAAAGTGGACGAGTTCGAATCCTTCAGACGACTTCGATGCGCCAGAAAGCGTGCATCGGAGTCCATACGAGTCCATACTAGCTTTGGACTCGTATGGTGATTATATAATGTTATATAACCACCATACTACTTGAAGCAAGTCCGCTACCATACAAGTCCTAGTATAGATGAGTTCCAAGATGCTTTGCTTCAGTCCAGCGCTTGCTTTGGGCTTTTGGAGGACTGGTGGTGCTGCTCTCGGGCTCAGCGTCGCCCCAGATAAGGAGCCCGGAAGCATCGGGGGCCAGGAGAACGCAGGTGGAGGAACGAAGCAGCCCCAAGTGCTAGTCGGGTGGAGGCCATCGCTACAAATCTTGCTCACCTGCGGAGACTGTCAAGTGAGATGTTCATTTTTCCCCATTTCACACCGCAGAGTCGGTTTGCGTAAATATTTCTTCCTCCCTGCGAAGAGGAGCAAACGGCCTTAGAGATTCTCGACATCAACGATGGCCTTGTGAAGGAGCAGATGTTTCCGATGAGAATCCTTCTCTTCCACAGTTGTCTCAATCATCAAAGCGCAGTGACTTGTTGCAATGATGGCTTGAACATGTTTGACCAATTTTCTTGTACACTAAATATGATGTTGCCCGAATCTGTACATGTTACACACATATCAACAAAAAGACTCCATGCTACTCATTAGGCTACCCCCTCTTTTTTTTTTCCAGGTGGAAAACCAAACCGCGGCGCGCGGAATCCGCATGCTTTGCTTTCGCTTTCGCTTTGCTCTCCAGGAGTGGTGTCAAAAGAGGCCCAGTCGGAAGGTCTTCAAAGGCGACAGGCCGCTGCCGCGGCGCCGCGGCGGCGCCGAAGGGTGGGGCCGCGGCGGTTTTGCTCGCAGATCCGGCTTCGCCGAGTAGATCGAATCCATTTCGGACGTAGATACCGAACAGGTTGATCGGTGAAGCGAAGGCTGGTTCTGGCAATGTAGTGGTTGGCCGTGGAAAGTTCTTCTTTTGTTCTGGGCGATTTTGGGCGGAAATTCTTCGGAGGCACCGAGAGACTGTCGGGCGTTTGGATAAGGGAGTGTCTCCTAGTTCCGCTGTGGAGCACCTCGAGAAAGGTGGAAGCCATATCATCACTGACTTGCAGAAGGTTGATTGCTCATTTTGAAGGTATATAGGGCTTGACTACTAGCTACTAGGGGCTCCTGGCCTTACCACTAGGAGCAAGGACGCTACGATCGGGGCTCCTGGCCGTACCATGATTGCATTCTTCCTCCCATAAGTCGAGATCAACTGGCTCAAACCCATCGCTGCTTTGCTTGTGTTCCCCTGCTCGCACCACTGTGAATCTTGCTGCAATGGCATTGTTGGGCCGTAAGCATGCCCTTCACTTCACTTTGCGATCTGGGTCAAGAAGCTTTGGACGGAATTTCTGGCGGCTGGGTGACAAATCTGAGACAGACACTGTGTGCGACAAGCTCCAGCGTTGTCAGACCCCACAGGATTTCATTGCTTATGCAGAAGCAATGCGCATGCACATTCAGAAAGCATCTGGGGCAAGGGTCATCCATGGACCCCCACCTGCGAACATCTCAAAGAGTATCCAGCAAAAAAGCTCCAGCAAGGATCTCCATGCAGGTGAAACCAAGAACATCATCAATGCCTTTATCAAAATGGGCATTGCAAGCGGCCAACCATCAAAAACACGTTTCTGCAGAGAAAGCAAAACTTGGTGCTCAGATGAGAGATGCATGACTACCTGTCTCATTGTCACCAAGCGTGCGCCCAAATAATGTGAAAAGCTCCTAGTAGCGTCCTTGCTCCTAGTAGCGATGCCAGGAGCCCCTAGTAGCTTCTTGTTCCAAATAGCGGGACAAATTTCAGAAAACAGATGCTTGGCAATGGTTGGCCACGGCAAGTTGTGTCCGCCATTCCCGCCAGAGTGCGGGTGCGAATTGGTCATGTTTGTGGTCGTGCCCTCGAAGTTGACGGTACCGTTACAACGGCCTGAGCTTGCTGCGTGTGTACAAGCATTGTAGCTGAGCATCGTCCTATTTCCTGATCAGACTTGCGTGGCAAAAGGCATCAGCCTTGCTTTGAAGACGTAACACAAGCCTTGAGGCCAAGACCCAAAGCCCATCAGGAAAGAATGGAAGATAATGAAAAACGGTCTAAAGACAGACTACAGATAGAAGTAAACAAGGAAGGAACAAGGTCTAAGAAAAGTAAAGAGAAAGCAAAACACATTACATAACTTTTGGAACAAAATGCTTTTGAGATTTGTGCCTGCCATGCCTCGTAGAATCGTGGCCGTGAACAAGCTTTGCGGGTGCAGTCAGAAGTTGGTGGACCTTCTTCGACAGCCTGATTCCTACGTGGCAAGCTGTGAAGCAAATCGGACTTTGGAGGCCATCGCTACTAGGAACAAGAAGCTACGATCGGGGCTCCTGGCATCGCTACTAGGAGCAAGGACGCTAGTAGGTTGGAGGCCATCGCAAGCAGGTTGGAATGGGAAGAAAGGACACACTTAGTGCATTTGGGCTTCCGGGTCACCTGCGAATTCACGTGGTCTTAGTGCGATTGAGGGATGGACCTTTGGTGCTGTCGATCATGCGGGGTTCGGGGCTTGGCCAGAGAATTTGCAAAGAATTTTAGTTCCTTCCTTTGGACCGTTAGGCACTCCTTTATTTATATATTTATTTTGTTTCTTAGGCAATCACAGCAAAATCATGAGAGATGTTCCTAGTAGCGTCCTTGCTCCTAGTAGTATGGCCAGGAGCCCCTAGTAGCGTCCTTGCTCCTAGTAGCGATGCCAGGTGCCCCTAGTAGCTTCTTGTTCCCATTTGCATCCCTTTTTCTTTTTTTCTCGTGTCATTGTGAACCTCAGCTTCTGGCTTTCCTAAGGCCCTCCACCAAGAGGTGGACAGTCGACAGTTGGTTCATGTGGTTCAACCGTTGTCGAAAGTACTGCGCTGGTTTCCAATAGTATTGGTCCATGTTGATAGACAGCAATTGATACAGAGTCTGACCGGGCTTGACGACAGACCAGGACCAAATACCTCAAACAAGCATGGCTGTGAAACAGGGCAAGAGGTATGCAAAGGTCAACTTGAAGACTTGTTAGGATCGCTGCTTGGCACAACAAAAATGCTACTAGCAACAAGTGAATCGCTACTAGTAGCAAGTGCATCGCTACTAGTAGCTTCTTGTTACTAATAGCAATGCACATGTTACTACTAGCGTGGCACTTGTTTCTAATAGCTTCTTGTTACTACTAGTAAGGCACTTGTTACTAGTAGCGATGCACTTGTTACTACTAGCTTTGAGATTGCTTGCAACAACGTGCCAGGGGGTCGTGGCGGAGGCGCGGGAGTTTCCGTTTGTCTCTTCAGTCTTCTCGTCAAAGAACGCGTTCCTTTCAGGCGGCAAGGGCAAGGGTCGTGGTGAGGCTGGGCACAGCAGTGTGTGGCAGTCAAACGGACACTGTGCTATGTTCAACACGCTGCCCGACAATAGTAACAGTAGTAGCAACAGTAGTATCAGTAGTATTGTTCTTCCAAATAGGTTGGAGGCCATCGCTAGTAGGTTGGAGGTCATCGCTCTTTGGCTGGAGGCCATCGCTAGTAGGTTGGAGGACATCGCTCTTTGGCTGGAGGCCATCGCTAGTAGGAAGATATGAACAGACCTTTTTTTTGCAAACACAAACGAGTTCGACTTTCGGCTGAAACTGAAATCAACACAAGCGAAATCGCCAGGTGCGTGTGCCAGGGGCCGCGGAACCACTCTCAGACGGTCCAGATATGTCTAGATATCTCTCAAAGCATGTTGGAATGATAAAGGCATAACGTCAATTTCATATTATATATATATATATACATAGTTCCCCAAACAGTTTACTGTTGGGGTTCTATCTTAGAAGAAAAGAGCTGGCCACACTCACTGGCCGCGCCCCTGAACTCTGTGGCTGGGCTCCGTGGCTGGGCTCCGTGGCTGGGCTCTGTGGCTGGGCTCTGTGGCTGGGCCTTGTCCTCCTCTTGTCCTC